TATATTGCCCCCCAAAATCTGGATTCTCAATTTATCAAATGGATGGAAGACAGAGTAAACTTGAGCTGGTGAGAATCAAACTCCCCAAATGCTTGCAGTCAGCAGGATTAGACTGCAATACTGCAGTCTAATTACTGCACCACCACAGCTCTGAATAGAATAGAATTCTTTATTGTCCAAGTGTGATTGGACACACAAGGAATTTGTCCCTGGTGCATATGCTCTCAGTGTACATACAAGTAACAAGTGATAAATCATGATCATAATAATAAAATATAATCATTATAAATCTTAAGATACAAACATAAAGTGATAGTCATAAAATACCAAATAAAAGCAATCAACATACATCATAAGATATGAACAACAAAGCGATAGCCAAAAAAGACTAAAGGATCAGGTAATAGGAAAGAATGAGATGAGAAGGATAGTAGTAATTCAGCCCTACGACATGGTTAGATATCCTAAGGCATAAGAAATTGTTGTGGGAATTAGTTGTTTAGTAGTAGAGTGGTTAAAATGACGGATGGTTATAGAAATTACAAGTAGAATTGAAGGAAAGCTTACTTCTGTGAAAACTTTCCAGAAATATACTACAATGGTAGTAAAACTTCATAGTGTGAGATATGTGTATATATATATATGTGTGTGTGTGTGTGTGTGTGTGTGTGTGTGAAGTTTTACTACTAATATCACACTATGAAGTTTTACTACTATTGTAGTATGTTTCTGGAAATATTTGTTTTCATAGATTTTCACAGACCCAAAACAACACATGACGCCACCACCAATCTCCCTCACCAGACTCAAACCCAAACCCACCCCATAGATGTAAGGCAACCACCGTCCAGAAACCAGACCATGGCTGCATCACCAGGTGCCACATACCCTGACCCCCAAACCAAGCAAATGGACACACGCCATGAACACATAGCCAGGCCTCAAACTTGGAGCCAAACCAAAACCCGGAATGTCACATCACAGCCACCCTCTCAGGATATCACATCACAGAACTCAGGAGGCTACACCACAAAACCTCAGTATGTTACAACACAGCCAATGACCCAGGAGATTACAGCACAAGACACAGGATGTCACAACAATAGAACTCAGAAGGTCATCACACAGCCCATGACCCAGGTCATTACAACTCAGGAGATTACAGCACAAGACCCAGGATGTCAAAACAATAGAACTCAGAAGGTCATCACACAGCCCATTACCCAGGTCGTTACAACACAGGAGGCTGATAGACACACAGCCAATACCTCAGCCACACATGTTCTTACGAAAAAGCCAGCCAATCTGCAAACATCAATTCCATCAACCAATCAAGAAATGACAACCCAGCCAACCTCCCCACCAGTATTTATAGAGAGACAGCAGCTCAGATCACGCTTTCCTTGCACAAGCACGAAGCCGAAAGCACCAGCCTGAAGATGGCGAGTGGGACCTCGTCAAAATGTCGCCAAGATACTCTCAATCTTACATGGGAAAAGACCCGAACACGCCAAGACTTGAATATCTATCTATCTATCTATCTATCTATCTATCTATCTATCTATCTATATATATATATATATATATATCTTTGTTTCCCAAAACTTGCAGACAAGAAAATTGTAAAGAATTTACTCCCACTTTCACACTAAAAAATACAACTTAAGCAGGTTATACTTCTAATATTGGAGTCGCTCAGAATCCCTTAGGTACCACTTAGATCTTTTCCTCAGACTTGTTTTATTGTTAAGCTGGCCAACCAATTTATGGCACTCATATTGAATATTATTTTTTAAAAAAACAAGCTGTACATTTTCTCCATCATTTATTCCTGCCTGCATAGCCAGTTTGTAGAAGCTTTCCCTGTCTTTATAGCCATCATAGAAGATAGAAAGATAGCAAATAATGTGATAATGGTGTTCTAAGAACTCCATTTATGATTTCAAGAGCTCTCACCAAAAATTGGCACAGGGGTGTTTGCTTATTATCTTATTATTCATGGTCTTTGAAGGATGAAGGAAGGAGACTTGTCACACAGAGCATCAACTGGGACAATTACTTCCCAGGCTGCATAGATTGGCCTTCATTAATAACTCACATTGCATTTCTGTCAGAAATTATTGTAGTAAGCACACACAGGCATTGTCTGCTGTAATGGTGAACATTTTCTGATTATTTCCTGACAGTTTGATAATCAAATACAATAGCACCACCTACTTGTCAAAGAGCATGTCAGCATACCAAGCTTATTTTCCCATTAAGCCTGTTTTAACTCCAAAAGAAATGAATGAAAATTGTAGGTTATATTTGTGTAACATGCTAACCTAAAATGAAGCTTGCTTGTTTGTGGTCTAAAAGATCAAATAAACTACAATTTACTGCTTAGTTTATTTGTGTATTTATTTATTAATTTAAATTATTTGTTTGTCAAACATGTACAAGATAACAAGTATAAGTATGAACATAAACAAGAACAAAGGGACAAGAAACAAAGCGCCAATAAGACAGGGCTGGTAGGCATGCTGGTGCACATATGCATGGCCCTTTAAGGAACACTTAGGAATGGGGTGAGGAGGTCCATGGTAGATAGTTTGAGGTTGAAGCTATGAGGGGTTGAGGCTGCAACAACGGAGTCGGGTAGAGCGTTCCAGGGGTTGTATACTTTTCCTCCATGGTGAGAGAAATGTTCTTCTGGTATGATTATTTCTAAAATGTCTTAGGGATTAGGAAGAATAGAAAGATTGCACTGCAATAAAATTAAAATGATATCACATGTGAAAATGTTTGTATCAATATTTATTACTATAAATATTAAGTAATAATTAGTTTATTAATTAGTTAAATATTTTTTATATATATACACATATACACATTGATTAAATTTATTTATTAAAATAAACATCAATACAATAAGTATTAATATAATTAGTGATTAAATAATATTTCTATTTCTATTTAAACTCTACAGCTGAATCTCATTGAAATCCGTAAGATTTTAAATCAATCAGACTGAAATATTATGTTATTTATTTATTTATTTATCTACTATCCCAATTCGTTTTCTACAATTCAAGGTGGTGTACATAATGCTTCTGCATTGTATTTTCCCCACAATAACAAGCTTGTGAGGTGTGTTGGAATGAAAGAGAGAGAAAAACTCATTCAGCCAACTTCCAAACCTGCTCAAAGCATAACGAAGTCTAAATTTCACTTCATAGATTCCTCTCTCAGAATTGTTAGTGTAATTGCTGCATGTGGTTCTGGTACTTGTGAGATTGGGGAAAACTAGTGTACAAAGTAATTAAAAAGTAAAGTGATTAAAAGAAAGCATGCTTTCCCCCCCGCATTTCCTTTCACTTCTTATTAAAAGATATAGCCCTCTGCTGGCAAAGTGAAACATTAACAAACAGCAAATATACTTCATATCATTCCACCAACATTGGTTTTCTGAAAAATAATTTCTGGCTGAGGAACTCTGGGAGTTGAAGTCCACAAATCTTAAAAGTGACCAAGTTGGAGACCCCTGATTTACAGTATATTTTACGCCTGTTGCTGCCTAAGCCATGGCTTATAAATTGCAGCTTTCTGAGGGACATAAGAAGACCAGAGTTCTTCTCCCTTTGGACAGGCCCGAAACTGAACCTGAAATATAGCGGGACTTCTGTTCATAGGTTCCCCTTTCTGATCAACAATTGCATAAATCATTTTGCTTACTTACTCATTACAAGCGCCCCCAAAGATAAAACAGTTGGACAATATATCCTAGTGACAATTTCTATGCTACATAGGCTACATATAACTTAGGCACCAATGTCATATTATGCTTTGCAATGCTTGGGAGAAAGTAGCAAAAAAGAAGAGAGAAAAAGGTTGAATGAGTGAATGGACAAGAACTAGCTGTTCAGGGGAAAAGGAAGACCAGCAACTTAAGATTCCTTAACTCTAGTGAAGTTTCTGGCGTAACAATAAAAATTGTGTTTCTCTGATGAATGAGAGAAAATTATTATTGCTTTACATCAGCTAATTAACAAAAGAAAAAGAAACACAACTGTGTTAACAACTTAAGATAAGCTCAAGAGTAATGATAATAATGAAAACAAAGAGACCTGGGAGTGAAAAAGAGAAACATGATTTAAAAAACATCTTCAAATAATAACTTTACAATTTAGGTTTGAAACCACAGTGATTTATTTCTGTGTTTGATGTTATCATTTGTTCTGAGATGGATATATCACTTCATCTAAAATTCTATGTTAAATTTCTGATTCTATAAACTTAACAACTTCATCATTAAAGATGATGTTGTCCCCGTCTGAATTGGGCAAGAAACAAAGCAAGAAAGTTGGGCCAGTTTATGGTGTAAAAGATTGCTGTATATTAAGTAGTGCACAAGGTCCTGATAAAAATCCAAATAGTCATGCAACACAATAAACATTTTAATATGGCACTACTCAGCTATCTGACCTGATTGACCCATCCTTTCAAGTATCTTTATTCAGACTGTTCTGTGTAATTCAAGAAATTGTTACTAAGGCACTCCATGCTCATTGGCTAATTATTCAACACAATTTCACAAATGAAAATGATCTTTCAAACTCAGAAGAATCTTCCTTTTCTTGATTCTTTCAATTTCAATTTTACAAATATAAATCTCCTAACTAAATAGGACTTGGGATTTTTGTTGTTGTTTCCATTAAACCCATTAAATAGGGAAATTCTGATAGAACAGGAATGTGCTTTTTCAATATACATGTAATTTATAGATTACATAGATTATATAGATTTATTGCTAGAAGGAAATTTGTGAGCAAGTGGCTGCTGAGAAAATTGACATTGGGCTGAAAGTATCACTTCAAAGGGATTCGGTGTCTCTCTAAGTCAAAATGGGGTGCTAACTAGAATCACATTAGGATCTTCACAGAGTTGTTTTTTTTTTGACAAAACCTCTTACATTGTATTGTATGATACAATATCTATTAAATGTAAAGAGACTGGAAGAAAAATGTGGTAATCCTAATTCAATAACTGTAATGGGCTGCTGGAATAACCTTGAGCGGGAAGAAGAGCCACAGCCTGGACAAAAATCAGATTAAAACTGGTTTTAATCTGATTTTTGGACAGAACTGTAACCTGAGCCTCAGACAAGACCCTCCCTGGTTCTCTCAAAAGTAAGGTAAGATCAGGCTTGCAAGATGAGATTACTATAAACATATAATAAAATTAGTATTAAATGGTGTCACTTTAGTTTCCTAGACCCAGTATATCTTGAAAGGTTGATAAAAACCACAGATACTGGCTGAATGCCGAGAAAGTTTTTAAAAGAGAGAGAGAGTGTGTTAAAAACTCAAATCTGGATGAATCTGTGGGCTTCACTTTGTCTTAGGTCTATTTTTTTAAATGTCCTTTATGGTAGGACATTTGTGAATCTATTAGCATAAAAAAAGATAAATCTAAATCCAGAAGTTGCTTCTTGAAACATACTGAATGGTTCCTGTTCTGTCTCGTCTTTCCTCTTTCCCAAAAGATGAAAGAGTACACACACACACAAACACAGGCAGACAAGCTGGCTCGGACTTCACAGAGTTAATTCTTTGGAACTGATAATATTCTTGGTATTCCACCACATCCTGCCTGCCAAGTCCGAACTGATAGCAAATAAAATTTTACTCACAGAAAATCACAAGGCAGTCCACAAAGAAAATCTTAAGGTTAAACTTTGTCCCGTACAAAGTTTAAGGAGAAAACACACCCACGTTTATCCCCTGTGGGGTGCGGCTCAATGACTCAACTCACTCTCTGACCCTCCCACGCCTCCTACGTTGCTGCTCACGTTTCTCCCTACGACACTGCTTAGGATCAAGCCAACACTCTTCCTCTTTACTCCCTGTCAGGGGCTGCTCCAATATGCCTTCCTCCTGATTAATCTCAGGCTGTTCCTCTCGGTTGTCTGAGGGAACCTGAGGCATTACCAGGGAGGAAGGTCCTGGGGAGGAAGGCATTGCCAGAGAGGAAGGTCCTGGGGAGGAAGGCATTCCCAGTTCCTCCTCCTCATCTTCCAGGTCCTCTTCCTCTGACAGCATAGGCTCGGGAATAGGGGCCACAACAGGTTCCACTTATTCTCAGTGTTAACACATTTTTAAACATCTGCAATAATCAAAGAAATTATATTGTTTCTACACTATATTTTTGTACACACACCTATGTATACATGCATTTTCTTAAGGTCCTGAATCTCTGTGAGAGGAGTTATATTACCTGGACACATCTGCCTTATGTTTGTTTTAAAGATTGAATGTGAATTACTCAAGCATCAAGGACTACCAACAATCTTAGTCCCCCTATATTTTACACATCTGATGGGAACAATTGTGATCAGCAAATGTTATCAGCAAAATCTCACTGCTGGCTTTTTAGCTATGTCATGTAAATGTAAGCGGAAGAACAATGTTATGCAAAGGTTTTCCATTGATATACAATACTTTCATTTTCAATAAATGATTGAAAATGAAAGTGTGTATAATTGTTGTGCAAATGGACTTTGAGGGAGACCAAATGTTGCCTACCATAAAAGTCCTAATTCATTTCAGAATTTCCAAGTGTTTAACAATCACTTGTTCTTTTTATATTATCTAATGGATTTCTCTGGAATTAAAAACAACTATTCCCGCGGTGCCAGAGAATACATTGGATTCTTTCAGTGTTATTCATAATTTATTTGGCATTCCACTTTGGATAACTATTGTTCTTATACCCAACTACACAAACCATGCAAGAATACAGGTACTCCCCTACTTATGACTGGAATGGAGCTTGCCGATCACCATCCTAAGTTGTGATAGTTGTAAAATAGGTTGGCCATGTGGCTGACATGATTTTAGATCTTTTTTTGCAACAGTTTTTAAGCAAAGATCATAGTCATAAAATGACTATTGTGGTCATTATACAAATAGATGGTTTGCTATGAGTGCGATTTTGCCAAAAAACGGTAAATAAATACCATTTTTGACAAAACCCTTTTAAAACACAGTGAGATGCTACTAATGGCCTTAAGTTTAGCCATGTTTCCCAGTGCTCAAAGTTAGGCTATGTGACCACAGAGGTCACTTTGAATACAGGTGTTAAGTAGCCCCAAGGTAGGCCAGTCATAAGTTTGAATGGTCACTAAGCAGCCAGTCATAAATCAAGGATTACCTAGTGTGTAGTCTGGCTTATTACCTTTTGACCTCCCCTATTTAGACTTATGAAAATTCTTATTTTTAAAAGGAGCAGTTGCATGCACAAATACATTTTGCTTCTTCCTGCTTCCAGGACCAAAGATGAAAAGTCCAGATCCTGAAGGATGCTAACAAAACAAGAGGAAGTCATCCCACAAAATAAAATAGGGACAATGATTTACGAGAAGCAAAAATGATTTATCTGAGACTGTATACTTATTTTGAAAGAAAGATATTCACTATTGGAATTCATATTCTTACTTTGCTTCCTTTTAAATGCTCTGAATAGGAAACTACACTGTGTGTGTGTGTGTGTGTGTGTGTGTGTGTGTGTGTGTGTGTGTGCATGCGCCAGAACAGTGTAAGCATGCGCCAGAACAGTCAATATAGTGGCCATAAGCATGTGTTCAAAGTTCTTCCTAATTTTTTACATGCACATAATGCATATTAAAACCAGAACGAGCTTAGGCTCCATGTACTGATTGTGAAGGAATGACCTGACCTTGGACATGAGGAAGGAACATCAGTAGAGGTGGTATTCAGCAGGTTCTGACCAGTTCTGGAGAACTGGTAGCGGAAATTTTGAATAGTTCACAGAACCAGCAAATACCATCTCTGATTGGAGATTTTCCTTCCCCTGCCATGCCCACCAAGGCACGCTCACAGAACTGGTAGTAAAATAAATTTGAATCCCACCACTGAACATGGGGACTTTTAGCACAGATTACTTGATCTTGAGAAAGAGGAAAAGGTGAGAAAGGGTCTCAAAAACGATTCTGCCTCGATTTCGTTCGGTATAAGACTGATGCCTTTCAAGATGGATGCCACTCTTTGAGGCAGCATATTTGACAAAGAGGTAGGGCAAAAATTCCAAGAATGGTTTAACGTTGTAGACGGAATAAACAACCTTGAAAGAGTCTCAGTGTTTCTGCAATACTAATTCTTTATCATTGCTGTGGGCGCAGCATTACTTAATAAATGCTATCTAATTCCAGAGAATGGTAAATTGGTTATTATTACCTGTCCCTTTAATTGGATGAGTCAATGACACAAGAAGGAAGGGTAGTTTCCTCAGGGCAATGAAAGGGCAACACTGTTTGAATGATTAAATGACTGATAATAGAGAAATTGTGATTAAGACCGGAGCACTTCGAATTGTCCTTTTTGTTTCATTTGGAAATGGAATTACCCTATTTTCATTCTTCCACCAAGGGATTGTGATATCTGAACTTTACAACTTCCAGATTATGTGACTACCTATGTGTTTTATGAAGTGTGATATTTGTTTTGCTTGAGGCAAAATAATCTTACAGTGAAGTATACATTTGGCAAACTTCAGTCACTATGTATTTGGTATATTAATAATGCTTTAAAAGATTCCCTTTAGATGTACACATATTATTTGAGATTAACATTACACTAAAATATTTGATTTTTGCAAATTCATAAGGTTATATTCATATAAATAGAGAAGACATATTTGTAGTTTTAACAATTTTATTTTTACAAATTTTATATGTTCATTTTATAACAATAAAAAAGCAATAGAAATATATAGGGAGAATGCAATTTCAAAGAGGTTTCTTTTTAAAAAGGTAGTCTTTGCATAACTCTGACATGCTTTGAGGTTTTAAAAAGAATAATTAAATAAATATTTCAAATAATTGCTATATGTCCCACATAATTTTATTAATTTTCTTAAATATTACAATTAAAAAGATAAAAACAATACAAACTAAGAAAAAAGTGCAGAAAATAGAAAAGAAAGAAAAATTAAAAAATGAAATAAAAATAAAAATGTTAGTAATTTATCACTTTCTCTTAAACACTTTCTCTTTCTCCCATATTTCGTCTCTTATATACAAACAAATCCATAAAACTTTATCATTCAGTCCTGATCAGCAAAAGTCCATTATGGGTTATAGATAGTCCTCAACAATGGGCTGTTTAATGAATATTCAAAGTTACAATGGACACCCAAAAAGTTATTACAAAATGATTCCAGAATTCTGACAGCTGTGCCATCCTGTTCTCATATGTATGGACATTTTCGGTACTTGGCAACCAGGTTGCATTTATGCCTGTTTCCAGTGTTTAATGATCATATTGTAGTGATTTTCAGTAGTGTTTTGCTGGGTTTTGGTGCTTAATTCTGGTTTCTGGCAAAAAAAACAACAACACCTATTAGAGTGAGTCTTTTTCAATCCAGAGCAAAAGAATAATAACTTAAGATAAAATTCTTCTTGTTGTTGTTCTGGTGATGGTGGCGGCGGTGGTGGTGGTGGTGATTGGAACTTAATTGTAAGAATCTTTCACATAGAAAAATATTCTTTGAATTCTTAAAAATAAAATCATGATGGGATTTTGTAAGTTGGGCACTAGAGCAGGGCTGTTAAATTCCTGGCCCGTGGGCCGAATGCTTCACATTCTGGCCACACCCACGCCTGGTTCAGTGAAGGGGGGAAAAGTCCCTATACGTCAGTGGCCCCCAACCTTTTTTGTGCCACGGCCCGGTACCGGCATCACAAAATGATCCGCGGCCCGGTACCGGCATCAGCACGCATGACAAGGCAAGGTGAGCCGAGCGACCGGCCAGCCAGCCGTCCCCCGCTTCTCCCCACCACCTTCAACTCCTCCTTTGTACCTTTGTCGATGGGCTTTGCTTCGGGACGGCTTCGGGACGGTCGCTCGGCTCGCCTTGCCTTGGGTGCTGAAAGAATCCTCGCGCCTTAGTTTCGTTCGAAGCCCCCCCCCCCTTCAATGAAACTAAGGTGCAAGGATTCCTTCAGGACCCAAACGCCGCTTTCCAACCGGAAAAGCTCACCCGGAAGCACTTTCTCGTCAAACAAGATGGCGGCGCCCAGCAAACCGGCGGCCTGGTAGGAAATGTTCCACGGACCGGTACCGGTCCTCGGCCCGGTGGTTGGGGACCCCTGCTATACATCATGTGATGCCACCGTGATGATGTAAGTTTGACACCCCTGTGCTAGAAGAACCAGAAGGAGCTAAAGTTTACAATTAAAGGAGAAGAAAGGATAGTCCTCAACTTATCACTGGTCATTTGGTGACTGTTTGAAGTTACAAAGGATTCTTCAAAGTTATTTATGACCTGGTTTTGATGACTCAGTCCCCCACATGCATCACATTATGGGCACCTGGCAACCAGCCCACATTTATAATTGTTTGCACCATCCCATGCTCGCAGGGTCATAATTTATGATGGTTTGGCAAGAAACTGATTGTCAGCCTTCAAGATTTTCTCCCTTTGCTTTGCATCTTTTGGCTGTCATAAGTAATGGGGGGAGGAGGGGGATATGGTTATGGGAAGTGAGCTGGAGGTGTTACAAACCAGAACTGTATAAGCTGGGGGGGGTTACATTCTTGCTTAGGTTTCTATCCTATGCTATGCGCAGCTGCAACCCTTTATCAAACTATGTCAAGGTCAACGGACAGAGGCCTCATCACCACCTGGAGATGCCCACATGATGATATACACAACTTTTAATTGGATGAGCCAATTGAACTATTGGGGGTGGGAACGTTGCCATTACTTTGTATATGTGATTTACGCGCCCATTTTCTCAGATTCAGAATTATTTTGTTGCTACCACTTGATTTCCAGTAAAAGATATCTTTTCTCTGATTAAAGGAGTCTAAGTATTTCTTTCTTGGATTTTGAATGGAGCACCAGCTGACACTGATATTTATTTCTTGTTTCTGGTAAAAAACTGACACATAGCCAATAATGGGTTCTCTTAATAACTATGATACTCACTTTACAATCATTGTATTTGCTTAATGACTGCCACACACAAAAAAATATAGTAACAACTTTTTGTGGTTGGTTGGTGGTAAAATAAATCCACTTATGGCTATTACAACTTACAACTGTAATTGCCAGGATCAATTATAGACATAAATCGTATAGACCTGTACACAAAGGAGCAAAATAAGACTGGGGATATTGAAGGATAGTTGTGAACAATGGACCCACAAGTTAATTTTAAGACTCTCTTCCATTATAGATGAACTGTCTCTAAAAAAAATATTGTGAAAGAGAAACAAATTTTACTGGACAAAACTGAGATGGATCTGAAAGTGGATGGAAAAAGATGCTAGCGGATATACAAATGAAACTGGCTGATGTCTTAATAATTAAAAGGCATATACAAATAACAATCTGAAAGAGTGACCTGCATAGCTTTCTTATAAAGTTTTCAAAGTAAACTTGGGATCAAAGTGTAAGATGTTAAAAGGCTTCATTTTTGAGTGCCACAGAAGTTTATTAGTGCAACTTGAGTCAGTCTGCTCTGTGGAATTCATTAAGCAGGGTAATGAAAAAGTTCATTCTTTATTAAGTTTTATTTTCTATGTGCCCCAAGGAGGGTAAATGTATTAAATTATGGGCTCTCCCACTGCCTTATGGGTTCCCCCACTGCCTTGTATAACTTTCTTAATAAGGGAAATTATTACACATACTATAAGATTAATTTTGCCCTGGTGATGGAAATTATATCAGTAGAACAACTGTTTAATAGGCAATTTGCTTTCCATAATGTTTCTGGTAGATAGTTAGTGTCCACTTAAATTTTTAATACACAGTTGAGCTAGCATTCCATTTTTTAGAATGTTGGAGCTATAGTATGAGCAGAGAACTCACTCCAACCAGTGTTTAATCAAAGTAAGAAATTTGATATTTTCCAAATATTTGGAATTAAATTTCCTATGAATTCCATCCATCATGGTCCATATACAGAAAGGCTGTGAGTCCTAATTCTGAACAATGGGAGGACACAAAGGTGATGTGCTACTCACCTCTATTTAAATATTACAGTCGTGTTAAATATATTTTGCTGTTAATATATCAAGATAATTCCAATCAATATGGAAAAGAGTAACTGTCTTTAAGAACTTCCAGGAAAGAGTTTTGAGAAAGAAATTGACAAATTTATGATGAAGTGATGTTGTTTTGTTGGAAGAAATATCCTTCTAGGTTCAGTTCCAAGTGGGGAAAAAGACATTGGAAACATAGAGGCTATTTGGAAAGATGATTTAATGGTAGACAAGACCACATGGCTCAAAGCTCCAAAGAAGGATGATCACATGCTCCAAGGCAGGGGTGGGATTCAAATTTTTTAACAACTGGTTCTGTGGGCGTGGCTTAGTTGGTGGGCATGGCTTGGTGGTCATGTGACTGGCTGGGCGTGGCCAACTCAACATCACTCACATTGAGGCACGCATCTCCTCGCCTGGCCTCTCATGACTGTGGGGATGCTGCAACAGTCGTAAGTGTGAAAAATAGTAATAAGTCACTTTTTTCAGTGCCATTGTAACTTTAAATGGTCACTCCACACAAGCAAAGTACCAGCAAAGGAGGGGGGAAAAAACTCCAGAGATGTTCCAGAGACAAGAAGTCTAGTCCTGCCAAGAATGTAATAAGGGTTAACGGAGAGTTTCTGTAAGCAACGCCAGAATGTTTCCTTCCTGCCTTCCTTACAGGATTAGGCCAGTAATATCTTCTAACAACCGGTTCTCTGAACTGCTTAGAATGTTAACAACCGTTTCTAGCGAATAGGTCCGAACCTGTAGAATCCCACCCCTGCTCCAAGGTGAAGGAAAAGAGAAAAAAAGGGCAGGTCAAGATGCTAAGAGACCCTTATATACATTCTGTTGGGCTCTACCTTAGTGTTTCCTGTTCCTGTGCAAGAAATGTATCCCATTGGCTGTCCCAGGGGTGGGGGGTCATAGCTAACTTTGTAGGCTTTCCTGATTCCAGGCTTGGTTGAGCCTTGCTGGATGATGATGCACTGAAAGGGCTCTTGGGCAATTGCTATATCTTTACCTCGAGATCTTTGTTATGTAAAGTATTCTGGCCCAGGCCTTAATGGCCCACCCATTAACAAAGGTGGGGGGGCTGAGTTTCTGCCTCTCTGACTTTACTCTTTTTAGGGGAAATATTCTGCCTTTTAATATTTTTCAGGATATTTCATTTTTTTAGGAGGGGGTGGGTGCTAACTTGTTACAGTTTCATTCACCCTGCCAGATTTCAGTAATGTGTATTAGGTGTATTGCCTTGTTCAACACCAAACTATGAATAAATGTGATTGGGTTGCAGACTTGGTATTAACCATTGGCATCTTAAGGCCAAGAACACTATCAATTGGCCACCTGGTCATGAGAATGGGACAAGCAGATTGGAAATTGGGATTGCCACTGAACTGGGAGATCTCCTTTCCCCTAAACCGGTATACAGGTAGTCCTCAACTTATGACCACAAATAAGTCACTTTTTTCCAATGCCGTTGTAACGTTGAATGTAACTAAATGAGCTGTTGTAAGTCAAGGACTGCCAGTAATTTTATTGTCCTCACAGTATCTCCTATGACCCCACATGGCAAGGATACATTACATTGATGCAATGTAATATAGAGAGAGCAAATAGCATCTAGAGATTAGAAGCTAGTAAAATCCAGCAAATTGCATCTAAGAGTTTTTAAAGGCTGATCTACACAACAACAACTCCATTGGTATATTCAATGGATAATTGGAACATAATTGAATTTATGTAAATTATTTATATAACAAAGTTTCATTTATTAATTTCTGTTCCTCATGTTAATATTTTACAAGTTTGCTTTTTCATGTACATTTAAAAAAATACACATAGAAAGAATTGTTATTCACATGTTCACTTCATGCATCAAAATTCAGGAAAGTGATTAGATGCCTCGCATTTTGAAAAAAATAATAATTATAAGTTCATGAAGGTAATATATGTAGTGAGCCCTTGTTTAAAGCACTAATGACAGCACATTGCATCCCATCTTCATGTGTATGCATTATCTGTTCACAAATACAGTTTTGTAACATTAGCTTTCCATCTTAATATATCAAAATATATGAGGCAAAATCATCTCAAGGATTCTTTTGAAACAAGGATAAATATTAAAGATGATAAATGAGCCCCCAACACAAGTTGTATTCTGCTGTACATCACAACTGAGTTCATAGTTATGGTCAAGACAGATGACGTTGCCAGCAGTTTTCTATTTTTCTAATCATAAGTTCATTTCAGCCTGTTTTTGGATCAGTTTGCAAATTTAGCAAAAAAACGTTTCTCCAGCAAATATTGTCAGAAATATACTGCTGCTGATCTGGAGATGCTGTATAATGTTCATAATATATAGACATTCATAGTCTTAGTAGTCATGAATTTGATGAATCCCTTTTAAACCTGTCTGAATTACGGTAGCATCCATCACTTCATCTTCTGCTAAGTCTATTCAACAATAATGATTTATCATTTGAAAATGAATGTATTTTATCAATTGGGTGTTTGCCAGTGGTGGGATTCAATCTTTTTTTACTACCTGCTCTGAGGGTGTGGCTTGGTGGGCAGGGCAGGGGAAGGATACTGAGAAATCTCCAGTCAGAGGTGGTATTTTCCGGTTCTCCGAACTACTCAAAATTTCTGCTACCGTTTCTCCAGAACTGGTCAGAACCTGCTGAATACCACCTCTGGTGTTTGTCTATAAAAGTGTGCATCCCCATACATCACAAAATTGTTCATTTTTCTAAGAGAAGTTCTAGAGTTTAGACTAGAAATTTATCAAACTAGCTCTTTCACCGAACAGATCGTTGAACTAATAAAATTATTTTGAAACAGAGCACATGTAAAAACATACTGCAATAAGGGGGAAACAAGCGAATGATGTAAGCTACACAAAAACAAATTAAATCGTTAGAAAAATGGTCTCGTGTCACAGACAATAAAAAAGGCAACAATATCTCAGAGGACGACTAAAAAGAACCCTGTTTTCTGGCTAATAGCAGATGCTGGAATAGATGACTCAACTGGGGTTTTCAATTTTATATGATGATACCAACAATAAACTCTAGAATAACGTACAATGAGACTCTGAATTTTTAAGGATGTGGCAATTGTTTTATTATGCAACAGATGCTTTGTTCTCTGTTACACCATCTTTGATGTAGGGTTGTTGTTGTTTTGAGTTATAGGAAATTCTGCATCTTGATAAGTCATAACTTTATCACCTTCAGAAGAGTCTAATTTCAGTGGTTGGTTTAATTTGAATTCATGCCTTGTCATTGGCAAACTTTGTTGGCATTGAGCAGAGAGTTGCTCGGGGAATCTTACAATATTCACTTTAAAAAGAGCTTCATGGGGCTCTAATTCTAAGATCCAAGCCTCTTAAGAATTCCTAATTTATAATAGAAGAAATGGGAAAACTTTCAAGTTGCAATCATAGGACTCAAGAAGTCCTGGGCTATAAAGAACAGATAAAGCATCAAAAGTCAGTGTGATACAAGAAAGTTTTAGAATCACTCTTTTATTGTGAAGGTTAAGAAATGCATATATTAGATGCACATATTAGAAATTCAGCACTTCTGAAGATTTCCTCAGAGCATAAAATTACACTTCCAGCATGTAATGGATTAGGATATTCAGGTGTGACCTTTTGGAGTTTATGTCCAAACTTTAAATCAATAACTAATATTTTAGATTTTAACTGCAGTTCTAGGAAGGATTAATTGCCCTTCTGGATGAAGCAAGGGACAGCCTGTGCAATTTCTAAGTAGATTTGACAGACAAATTCACATTTAAACCATAAAATCGATGTCTTTTCATAATGTAGATGATTAAAACAAGACACATGAAAAAAGTCACCTGTCACTTGGGCATTTATTAGTTATAAAAGCTCAATTGGCAGGAATATGTGAGTTCCATTTATCATATGGAAACTGGTCTTTTCTTTTAGTTTTTTGTTCATTCCTAAAAGATCCAAACATTTTTTATCACTTGAAATAAATGAAACAGGTCAACTTTGGAAATTCCAAGGAGGAATTTTGCAACAGTTATTCAAGACATATAAATGTATAAAACAAGCAATTGTTGTATATTAATAGCAGACTCAAAGACAGTATGTCTTAATTGCCAGCTGCTAAGAAATAGTATCTTCCAATAGTTTTCCAGTAATACCATACCTACGCTAGGAAGAAATAATGTGCCCTAATGGAGAATAAAGATAATTTCTAGAAAATAGTGTTAGTTAGTCCCAGGATGGAAATGGCAGAGACCCTAGATGATATCTTCTATTTCAACCTTATCAGCTTTATCAATCATTTGCAAATTACTATATGTGACCTCTAAAAGTCAGTTCAAGATTTATTTATTTATAAAACTTAGATCTCATATTTAAATTGGTTTCTTAAACCAATTAAACAGATTGTCAGACAAACATTTAAAACATCATATAAGCTCATAAGATATGGAATTCATAAGTAGGATTGGAAGGAAAAAAATAGCATTCACATGACATGGTAGTATAAAGTCATCTCCAAGTGAAGCCAAATGACCTCCCAAACTGGATAAAGAAGCAAATTTACAGTAGGTTTTCAGCAAAGATCTGAAATTCACTGTGGGGTAGTAGCTATACTGTCCTTGACAAGAAACCTAGGAAACAAACATTGTATGTGGTTGAAAGATTCTGTGTGTGCATGTATGTGTTTCCAAGATGCAGAATCTGACTTGAATAATGATTAGTGAAATAAGTTTTTAACAGTGGTGGAATTCAATTTTTTTTTCTCTACCGGTTCTGTGGGTGTAGCTTGGTGGGTGTGATGTGGCTTGGTGGGCGTGGCTTGGTGGACGTGGCAGAGGAAGCATACTGTAAAATCTCTATTCCCTCCCCACTCCTGGGTGAAAGTTACTGCAAAATCCCATTACCTCCCCACCCTACTAACCTGTTTTCCAGCTCCGTTCTCCTGTGCAGGGCAACAATAGAAGACCCAGCCGATCAGCTGGGACTCGGGAGGCAGAGCATAGATGGGGGCAGGGCCAGTCAGAGATGGGATTTGCCAGTTCTCCGAACTACTCAAAATTTCCACTACCGGTTCTCCAGAACTGGCCAGAACCTGCTAAATACCACCTCTGGTTTTTAAACTATAACAGAAATGAGATTTATTTACAGGACTTAGAATTTAGGGATAGGTAAGGCCTAGTTCCTGACTAGATGCATTCTATGAAAGAAGCAAAAGAGCATGTGAGCCTGGGAAGAAAGCCAGAAGTGACCTCAGATTAACCCTCTCTTAGACAGAGAACAAGTAGGCTGTCAGACAAAGAGGGGGCACATAATAAATTCTTAACACTTTATTTACATCTTCCGCTCCTTGTGGCTCAAACAATACTGAAGAATCAATGTCTAATCAACATCATTGGAAATGTTCACTGCTATGAGGATAGGACCTGAGGAATAGAATGCGAGGGAAAATAAATAAATGTGAACTGGATCCAAATATGTGTGTGATGACCCAGGGCGTGGCACAAAGGCAACACAGTCAAATAAGCAAGAAGTGTCCCTTTAGTACCTCCAACTTTGCCCCTAATGTCCAGGTTACCTTCAGCTGGAGAAAAAACTCTCCAAGAGCAGTCTTTAAGGGGAGGAAATTCAGTCCAAAAACAAAGTATATACAAACTGTAAATAAAAATCCACACAAACCACGCTGCAGTCATTAACTTGACAGGGCAGGAGAAAGAATTGCACTTGAAAGCCCAGCAAAACACACACAGTTGGGAAGACGCCAGGATAAGCCTTGACGATACCAGATAATTCACAATTTGCTCCCAACAACTTTGCTGTGTGCAGCTTCCCTTTTTAAACACTGCGTTCCCAGCTTCAGCTAATGAAGGGAATTAGGGCCCTTTCCTCCCCCCTAAGCCATGCAACTCACGTTGCTCCCTTCTCCGTTCCTCCCTGCGTGCCCTAGGATGAAGAGGGGGTGGGCCTGGGTCTTCCTCCGAATTGCTCCTCCCTTGTTCTACCTCTTCCCTGCTCTGCCTTTGCCCTTCCCCAGTCGGCCTTTGCCCTTCCCCAGTTTCTTCCACAGCCAATGGAGCCACACTCCCTCTCCCACTCCCACTCCCTGTCAGCTGCTCGGCCTACCCCTCCGAATCAGATTCTGACAGGGGCATGACAATGTTGCTCTGTTTCTTCTCATGTGTAATTCCTGCTGGCCAGAAGACAATAATCTCATCAAGTGTATCCAAGTACAGAATTTGGCAAACAATCGGGTTGAAATTGAAATCATAATATGGGAAATTAAGTCTGATAAATTATGTTACACTGAGGTTTGGTAGGTATTTCAAGTACTACATATACTAAACCAAAAGAGAGACAGAATTGTGACAAAAGATATTTGCTTAGATGTTATTTCATGATTTAGATCTTCCAAACATAGCCCTAGTTAATAGCCAAGATAAAACACCCCACTCAAGGCAGCACAATTGGGTTTACTAATAAAAGGAAATAAATTAGTGTTGTGGTGAGATTTTTTAAAATTAGTAATAATAATAATACTTTATTTGCGGTCACAGACCAAAACACAAGTACAACAAAAGAACATGGGAAAATTAGTCATGAACAATTGGTCACCAAAAACTTGACTAAGGGGAATTACAGCGTTCTCCTCTGATGGTTACAGCTCTTAAAATTTTTTTGGAAACCTGAGAAGTGATGTATGAGGAGCCATCCCCTAGACCAGGGGTGGGCAAACGTTTTGGCTCGGGGGCCTCATTGACTTTTAAAATTTGACAGACGGGCCACCACCTGGTGTCGAAATGCCTGTCATTACAAGTCAAAATCAAATGAATGCAATCATTCAATCATTCATATCAAACCTTAATTCTGTACCAATCTTCGGCAGGCCGGATTAAAAAGACACACGGGCCGGATGTGGCCCGTGGGCCGTAGTTTGCCCACCCCTGCCCTAGACAATATAAGAACAAATTACTAACATTGGGTCTAGAAGGGTCTGTTTCAAGGAGAGACAGTAACTTAGATCTGCCTGCGTTATACATAGGTGTTAGGTATAACATTGATACCAAATATGGTTTGGGTGAATAAATATATAAAAATTAGATATCATGGTTTAAGTGCTTATCACTTTAAGCACAATGCAGTAGGCAATTAGCCGATTAAGGGTGCGGTTAGAAGTTACAATATAAGGAAGCATTAGAAGCTCGAAAGCTGTCTGTAACTGTCTGTCTGTAACTGTATGCTGCTGCGACTGTTACTGTGTGTTACTGCAACTGTTACTGTGTGTTGCTGCGACTAACTGTGATTACTGACTGTGAGTGCCAGTGACTGAACTGTTTATTGTTTGCTACTGTTTGCTGAATATCCAGCGTTTGTTTCTCTGGAGAGTGAAACCGGAGGAGGAGAAGATATCTTTATCGGCTGATAAAGATATTGCAAGGACTCTTAACTTGGACTATACTAGTGAGTCTTACTGGATGGAAATACTGTGAATGACTTAATGGACTGAATGACAATGCTTAAACTCTAACTGGATTAAAAACTATTTAAACTACAAACAGTGTTTGTGTTCAGTGTGTGTATACTCTGGGGCCCTTCCGCTCTCCTTTGGTTGCCTGGCTTGACTACTGCTGCAATACTCTTCTAGGGGTTAATTCCCAAACCCTAACAATAGGGCAATATAAAAGGACATGCTCCACAGTTTCAACCTCAGCTCTGTCACAGGGGCATAGCCGCTCGTTAATCGGGAGCCTCTTAAATCGCCCATCCAGTAGTGCTGAGGGCAAGACATTAAAGCGAGCTAGGGAGAAAACTCTTCTATACTTGGGAATGGTTAGAGTGTAAAAATAGGAAGCCATCCTCAGTCTGTAATTATTAAATTGGCTGAAGATCAAAGAGGAGCAAATTTTGTTGGCTCTGGCTCGTAGATATTGCAAGTCAATGTCCATAAGCTGTTGGACTGCCCTAAATTGGGCATCCTTAAGGCCATAATCTCCCAGGGCATCTCCTGTAAAACCTAGCAGGTGAAATTTCTTCATCAGCTCCCTCTCCCAACGAGAAATATGAGAGTCAGCAAACGCCAGGGAGAGGTAGCTACCAGGAACTGCCAGAAAGAACAATTAGTAATACTTCAATTTTCTATTTCAGAAAATTCTTTGGACTAGATGTGTCATCCCAGGTTTAAAATCTGATGTTACTTTTTTTACTTGGTAAAGCACAAAACTGATGACATTATAAATAACAGTTGCAACTTATTTAATGTTGTTATTTGTTTGCTTTGTTGTTTAATTTTCAAAAGATGCTTGATTTTCCCCACTAGCATGAAAGATTATTGCCACAGCAATCTCTTGACAACAAAAATTACAATCACACCTGATCCCTCTTACTCATCCGTGACAGAGTTTTAGTATTCAAAGATTTGCAGTTAAGAATTGACCAATTATTCCTATTTCCACCAGAGGAAGAAAGCTCATGTGACTTATGGGTTAGCTGAGAAACATACAAACAAAAGTAATAAAAATATACAATAAATAATCTCCCATCATAAAAAAAATCACACATAACATTACATGGGGAAGTATTTTTGTCCATAAATGAAAGGTGTGAGAAATTACCTAGTCTATTGAAAATACTTCAGTGGCATAAATAAAAAGGAATATGTTATCACATTCTTCTGCATATTTAAGAGAGAGTAAGTCCCATTGGACTTAATGAGACTTACTTTGGAGTAAATAAGTTTTGTTACTCAGTATATGATTGTTTTATTAGTTTTAGAAAATAAGACTCAGTGAACAGAGTACATATTATTTAAGTCTCGCAATAAATTAACACTGGGAAAAATGAAGATTATTATTAATGTATTGCTAATCTTTTATACTTTGAACATAGCATGTTATATTTACTGTTGTTTCACAAAGTGCTATAATAAATGCTTAGTGTTTGGAAGAAAACAGAACAGCCAGTCATGAAGATTATAGGAGCTATTAATTATCAACCTTTGTAAAGCCATATCTCACATAGTATTCTAGAAATTTATGCCAGGGTTGAAGACTGTATGAAGAACAGAATTTGGAATGCTACAGGAAAGGAGGAAATGATTTAGCCAATGTGCCAATATTCAGTTCTGTCCCAAAAATGAGAAATGAGCAACCCAGACATAAAATCTTTTAATAATGATTAAATTTGCTTTCAAAATGAATTTCAGAGAAATAGGATAAATTTATCTAGTGTGGTGTCTGCTATTCCTTCACTAATTTAGTTGAGCTCTTATCAAGTGTATATGTGATATCCTCTATCATTGCATAGTCATCTTGTCAGTCTTTTGCATTAAGGCATTCAAAGAAAGAATGTGATGTACCAGTTATTGAAGACATCATAAATATCCTGTTTGATAGAATGCTGCATCACCTGTAAAGTCATGGAATCAATTATTAACCAATCCATAATCCTCCACTTAGAGAGAAACAACCTACTCTCTAACAAACAATTTGGTTTCAGAAAAAAACTATCCTGTAATCTGAAACTCTTACACTGCAGAAACATATGGACTACACAACTCAATCAGGGCAAAGCAATAGACTCAATTTACATAGACTTCTGTAAAGCCTTTGATTCAGTGGTACACGACAAACTACTCCTAAAACTAAAATCTTATGGTATCTCTGGACACCTGCATAACTGGATAGAAGCATTCTGGTCAAACAGACAACAAATGGTCAAAATTGGGAGCGTCCTATCAAATTCTGTACCTGTCAACAGTGGTGTCCCCCAAGGCAGTGTTCTAGGACCAATTCTCTTCATACTCTACATAAATGACTTCTGTGATCATATTAAGAGCAACTGCGTTCTCTTCGCTGACGATGTAAAGCTGTTCAACACCACAGACAATACTGCTACCCTTCAAAAAGACCCTGGCTATGTATCAGAATTGTCAAACAAGTGGCAACTTCAAATCTCAACAAATAAATGCTCTGTCTTACATATTGGCAAAAAAAATCAAAAAATAAAATACAAGCTGAATAGTCAAGACCTTGTTGATGAGCCAAACTCTGTCAAGGACCTTGCAGTACTCTTCTCTAATGATCTAAGTGCTAGAGCCCACTGTAACTACATAACCAAAAAGGCATTAAGAGTTGTTAACCTAATCCTGCATAGCTTTTTCTCTGGTAATATCATACTAGAGCATACAAAACATTAGCTAGAACAATACTCGAATACAGCTCATCAGTCTGGAACCCGCATCATGTATCTGATATTAATACAGTTGAGAAAGTTCAGAAATATTTCACAAGAAGAGTTCTCCACTCCTCTACTCATTGCAGAATACCTTATGACACGAGACTTGAAATTCTAGACCTAGACAACCTAGAACTCCACCACGTTCGGTCCGATCTAAGTATAGTACATAAAATTATATATTGCAATGTCCTACCTGTTAATGATTGCTTCAGCTTCAACCATAACAATACAAGAGCAAACAATAGATACAAACTCAAGGTAAACCGCACCAAACTTGATTGCAGGAAATACGACTTCAGCAACAGAGTGGTCAATGTCTGGAATACTCTACCTGACTCTGTGGTTTCTTCCCCAAACCCCAAAAACTTTAACCTTAGACTGTCTACTATTGACCTCACCCCTTTCCTAAGAGATCTGTAGGGGGCGTGCATAAGCGCACCAATGTGCCTACCATCCCTGTCCTATTGTTTCTTTTTATTTTTCTTATATGTATCCATTTCATGTATTCATAACTATGTTTATACTTATACCTGTTATCTTATAATCGCTTGACAAAATAAAATAAATAAAAATAAATAAATAAAAAACACTACATATTCTAGAAATGGCTTTTTAGTTAGATCCTTACCTAAAAAGTAAAAATTATTGGGGTACCCAAGAAAAAGTATCTTACTTCTTGGAGGGAACAAGCTTGCATATTACTAGCAAGATTGCAATTTTTATTTCAAAGATTACCTTGAAGAGGATAGACTGAGACTGATCTGACCTAACAGAGTACAGGAATGATATGGAAAAAGATCCTACACTGGATGTACAAATGAAACTGGCTCATATCTTAAGAATTAAAAGGTTAAACTGAAAAAGTGATCTAGATCATTTCCTCATATTGGATTTATAAGATATGTAAAAATTTTGTAGAATTTTATAAGAAGGGGCACAGAAAAAATGGAACGAAATAGAGTTCTAGGAATCCAGGACACTATTTGTTGGAATTAAAATCAAGACCGTTAAAAGTATAAGGACAGAATTTAAAGGTGGTTTACTTAATCAAGGTTAAAATAGATATATTGTCTTCTCCAGTAACTCTGTTGATCAGGACTGAATGACTGTAGTAGCTACTGAGATCCTATGGATGGTGCTAGATGCTAGCAGCAAACTGCAGTGTCTGAAGCCTATAGGGGCCTCTTTGTTACTACATGATCTCATCCTCTATTTGTTGGGTTGGAAAGTCCCGGACTTTCCAGGCTTATAGGTGATCTCATTTTACTAACATCACCACTAGTCTTACGGATTGGTTGGAAGGTTTCACCCATGTGGGATCTATTTTCCAATTCAAATGCTGTATCTATGCTGCTCTTCCTTGCTTGTAAAAATGGTATAAAAGAAGAAACGCTGCCCAGTCAGTCAGACATCTTGGCACCCTGCACAATGGCTGGTCTTTGAAACCCATCAAATGACAAAGCTTTAAGGATCTGCTTATTGATTAGATATATGGGAAGAAGATATCATTTGTTATATTTTAAGTGGTGATAATTTACTACTTGTGATGAAAAAGGTAATCGTAGGTTTATATATTTCCTTTCTTTACCATTTTGTTGTGTTTTCCTTTTCTGTTTTCCTTTTTCTTTAATTTCTGCACTTTTTATTTTTTCTTCTTGCTTTTAATTTCCGTAGTTATTTTTTTGCATCCCACCTTTAGTATTTTTATAAACAACTCGAATGAATGAATGAATATATAAACAAATAAACAAACATACTCCTTGTTCTTCCTATTTTCCCCACAACAATATTGTGAAGTGAGTTGGATCAAGAGAAAGTATCTGACCAAAAGTCACTCAGGTGGATTTCATGCCTAAGGCCAGACTAGAACTCTTGATCTCCTGGTTTCTAGGCTGATGCCTTAATGACTAGTTTTATCTTTTTAATTGTAAAATAAAGCTAAAATAGAATAGGGTTATCTGTTGGAATAAGAACCAGATTTCTGGAAGAGGAACAAAAAGTTTTCAGAAACTTCAAGGTAGATTTTGGCATAACATTATTTCATTCCACCTCAAAGAAGGTATAAATAGAGCTATAGAAAAACCATTGTGCCAAAGTACTTCCATAGGTGTTTTCCTATACTTTTTTGTTTCCCATCAGCTATTTCTTAAAGGACAAAGAGGTAGTCATTCCAAATAACAAACACAGATTTATCTCTAGATATATCCTGTTTTGTGTATGTCCTGAAGATTCCAAGATATTTCATGGAACAGTCTTTTTTTTCTTCCTGATTCAGCCAACAGCACATTCTTTTCAAAAACCTCTTTTCATAAAAACTTCTTTTCATGAAAAAGTTTGTTCCAGGAAGATGGAGAAATAGAAGAACAAGTCATATTAATGGTTACGTATTTATTTCCCATCAGTTCTTGTTCAGTTTGCTGAACTTGAATAAGAATGAACAAATGGCTAAAGTAATAAAATCAGCAATGTCTCTTTAAGAAAAAGTTCCTTAATTTAGTCTGAAACTTTTGTCTCCACTCATTTTCCAATCATGTAGTGGAACGCCCAGAAGCACCGAGCAGTCTAGAAATATAAAACTATGTGTTCTGTAATAAAATAAACAAGTTCAGCAGGACATGCATTTGTGAATACCTATATTCAGTTCTATTGCTACAATTTTTCTTGTCCTTTTAGTATTGTGGATATTACTCGGTGGTGCATGATTATTCAGAGGAAAACAGATGGATTTCCAGATGATTACCAATACAACAAGTAAGTCTAAAGGTATCATTGTCTCATCCCTCCAAAAATATCCTAGCTCTTCCAGAGTTCCATAAACAGAAAATAGCTTTAGGATCACTCTTAACTCTGTGAAGTCCGAGCCAGCTTGCCTGCCTGTGTTTGTGTGAGTTTGTACTCTTTCATCTTTTGGGAAAGAGGAAAGGCGAGACAGAACAGGGAATGATCAGATGGGAGGCTGTTCCCACAGCTGCATAGTGGACAGAGAAAGAAATTCAGAAAATATCCTACTTAACCCATCAGGCTGAAGATTTGTACTTCCAGATTTGAAAGGTTCTGTTAATGCTTCTTTTCTACAATAAAGTAGAATGAACTCATCAGATAGGGAGCACAGTGGCTCATGGTTAGGATTCTGGGCTGACAAATTGGCAGGCCTATGTTCCAGACCTGGTTGATGGCACAAGTTAGGATCAGGTCTTGACACATGCTCCACCTCCTGCCAATCCAGCAGTTTGAAAGTGAACAACTGCAAGCAGATAGATGGGTATCACTTTGGTGGACAACTTAATGGGCATATGAAATGATCCTCAATTGGGCAATGGTGTTACCATTCTATCCTTTCAACCTAGAAGTGCTTTGTTGTTCCCGACATGACTGTAGTAGCAGCTTGTCTGGTCTTCCTGGAAAGACTAACACTAATGCAGAAAAATGCATGTCCATAAAACCTATGATGTTCTTCTAGGTACAATAAAGGAAATAAAGAAAGCCCTTAAATACTTTGGATCCAGGTTGGCCATAACTTGGTACTTTTCAGGATTCCTCAGGATTCTCCTTACTAAAGTATTAGTAAGGGGAATCAAGCACTAGGAAGATATACCAATCAATTGGTACTCAGATGACATAACACCCAAGACCATAACTAGAAAATGAAGATAGATAAACCAGAAGACAATGCCATGCCAGAAGACAATGCCATACAAGTGAAACCCTAGTAGAACAATCCTTGCAGGAAAGATTATGGACCCAAACTTGGGAAAATGGAAGAAATTGAATTTTAGAGAGTGTGCATTATTTCTTCTGAGCAGCACATTTAGTTTAGGACTAAATAAAATGGTTGTGCATTGTAGCAACAAGGGAGAGGAGGTGTGCTCCTTTAACTACACATACTAGTCCATTGTTTATACTCAGTGAAATGTAGCAGACAAACCAGCTGTTATCTCTTCTTCTATCAGAAAGCGAAAAACACTAGTTCTGAGGTAAAGTAAGAAAACATTGGCAGAAGTTGTGTTCACCTTGATTCCTGTAGAAGGTCAAGTGGTCAGGTGATGCATTCTGGCACTTCAGAACTGATGGATGAATCATGTTGGACCAAACAAGAAGTGCAAACCCCGTGTTTATTTTAAGCACAGAAAAGAAAAGGTGGGGGTACAGAACAAAATAAAGCAAGAGCATGTTCAGTCTTTTCTTTGAATGCCATAAAACTGGGTTATAAAAAGAGCTAATCCAGAACACTTATGCAATGTAATGTTTGCATGGTGACATCATTTTAATCTGATTTATACTGTGGGGTTTACCTTATAATGATTTGTTCTCTGTTTTGCTCAGTTTATTTTTAATGAAATTAAAATTTCACTTGAACACAGATAGATTGACAGAGGTTTCAGTCTACCAAAGCATAAGTGAGATGAAAGTGAGATAAGACTGTTCTTATGTTTAGGAACCTGATATTTAAGTTGTTTTTCCTTTGTGCATATTAAATATGGTATTCAAAGCAAACCAGCATATTAAACATTTGCAGTCACACTGAATATTTCAGTGTCAAAAAAATGTTTAAAAAGTAAACAATTCTAGGCTTCCCAAGATCATGAAGCAGACTCTTCATCCCGATAAAACCCTTTTTATTTAGGTTCAAGTGAATTCCTCTCCAGCAAAGTCCCAACAAACAGTCTTTCATGAGATTTCACAACTACAGACTTTTATCAGGCTTGGAGAATTGCCAGGCCAATATCTTCCAAACACCACGCTGTAGCAAAAATTACTTGGCAAGAAGCCAGGAACAGATCTTCACTCTAATGAATTGAACTACAGTACTTGTCTCCTGCAAACACCTCTCCCCGTTCGCTCCTTTTTATTCCCTATGGGAGGGGCCATTCAGTGCCCATCTGTGCCCTTATTCCCGAGTCGACCATTGTTCCTTAACTGTTTCCTTCTCCTGGCAGCTTTTACATGCGCACACTGGGAACAGGCTCCAGCTGTTTTTCTGCCCCCACTGATCTCCAACTCCGAAGGCAGCTGATAACTGTCAGATGCTTCGAATGCAGAGCACTTGTCAGAGCCTTTCCCAGACTCCAGGACTGGCCCATGTTCCTTCCCAACCTCCTCACTGTCCAAATCTGCTGCCAGCTCCACTGGCCGCTGGTGGGCCACAACCGTAAACATTGTACATACAACATATGCAAGTTTAAGAATCACATTTATGGCTGAAGATAGACAAAAATATATTAATTGAAATTATAAGCCAAAGAAAGAAAATAAATAGCTGGAGATGAGAAAGATATCACACGCTACAACTCTAGAAAACTTATCATTATAATATCAATCAAAGCTATCAATTAAGACTATGTACCAAGAAGATAAAAATGTCAGAGGAAGAATAATAATACATTAGTTATTTTATTTTTGCTCCTAAAATTCTGTATTCCTATTTGAGGCTACCTTTTAGGGCAGTTACTTTTGCCATGACAGTTAATCATCTAAGATCTTTTACCTGCTACTCAAATATTGATATGGTAACTTTTAAAAATATGATTATTCTTGTGCTACTTTCCCAGATGGACCGGCCCATTCAGAACCTCACCAACAGAAATCCAAACATATTTCTACTTTCCATGGAGAATATGAAGAGAAAGAAAAAGAATCTGCTTTTCAAAACGTTGAAACAATTTTTTCAAATGTATATGGGTCAGGTGATAGTAACATTTATTTGAAAATACGTTTTTCAATTTGTGCATCTTTCAATTTTTCAGTTTGTGTGTTTGAAAGGATACATGTTAACATATATAGGGAAATTTCAATGGCTTTGTTCTTTTCTAAAGAGAATAAAGTTTTGCTCCACCACTTTATTTACTTTCTTAATTTTTGTAGGGTATCACTCTCAGTAAAATTATCTATTCTTGGAAATGGCTTAACATTTTTAATTTTAACAGGCTTATTTAGGAAAGTTTGAAAAAGTGCCTTATCTTTTTATAAAGCCAAAAAACAATGGAAGAACTAGAAGACCTTTGTTTTTCTATCCCGTTAAGGAAGTACAATTTTGAAAGAATCCTCCAACCATGTGGCAATTCTTTGTTTCAGATCTGTCATTACTTTTCCTTTTAAATTCTACTTTTCACAACATGTTGTTTTATTGGGGGCTGTTTCCTTAGATTTGTTGCCAGCTTGGAATGGTGAGGAATGCACCAAACATTTTCTTCATGAAGTGGTGGATATTATCTTCAGTTATATCAAAAAGACTGTTGACAGAAAGAGCAAAGTGCTTGATTTCCACCATCCACATCAGCTTCTGGAAGGGCTAGAAGGCTTCAATTTGGAACTTTCTGATCACCCTGAACCTCTAGAGCAAATTCTTGTGGACTGCAGGGACACTTTGAAATATGGTGTT